GGGATAGTGAGGAGTAATCCCAGGTAGGCTGTGACAGAGAGACCTTGACTTTTTTCTCCAACAGGATGGGAAGCCCCATTGCTAGCTGTCTTGTTTTTTTCTTGGCTGTTTTAAAAAAAGACCTTAAAAGACATTTTTCTAGTCCACATTGGGCTGGTTCAAATTTTTGAACTTGTGTTGCTTATTATTTTATGTCAAACTCACATCGCTCTTTATTGTTTTACGTTGTTGTTTGGGTACTAGTATTTTGTCTCTGCGTTTTATATATTCTAATTGATTTTGTTATTTCTGTGAGCCACCCTGAGAGGTAGTATAAAATATATAAATAAAATCATTGCCTTTGAGAATTTTGAAAAGGGAACACCATGAATTATAGGTATGTGCATGTGGGCTTTTCATAAGTGATGCAGCTCACGTTGATTTTGAACTTGGCTATGGAAATGTAGCTAAAATTTGTATGTGGAGTTGTTTTGCAGGGCCTGTACCACCTTTGTTTTGACTGTCTGCACATTTAACAGCTGCTGAATAAGTGAACATTGTTTTATGTAGCAGACAGTTATTCTGTGTCCAAAATGCAGTTCTAAAGCTTTGTCAGCATTGCTTTCTTCCTCAGTTCTGTTGACAGTGTTTTGGCTTGTCTGTCATCCTTATAGATCGTTCTTCTCTCTTTTTATTGTTAAAGTCTCCAGAAGAATTAAAGCATTATAAAGGACAACCAAAATAAGTTACATTCCCTGTGAGCCAGGAGGAATATTGGCCTGCCTTTCAGTACTATAGTCTATAGTGCCAAGAAGAATGGGCAAGAGAAGCAACAGAAGCAAGCAAGCAGACAGACACATAAAGGCTCCAACTAGACAACAATCATCAGATCTTATGGGCAAGCAAAGGGCTAGCCCATATGACCCTGTCTATATGTTGTGGGTTTAAAACCACAAAGAGCATTGTCCTCTTAAGCATCACAACCCGGACTGTATAAATTATTCTTCTAGCACTGCCTTCACATTTCCATAAAAAGGAAAAAGGAAGTGAGGGGGAGGGAATGTGGCAGCACCTTTAAAACCAACTGGTTTTTATTTTTGCATGAGCCTCTGTGAATATCAACCCACTTCTTTAGAAGTAGTATTGAATGGTATCAAGGCCTCAGGTATAAAGCATAGTTATACAGTTGTAGGAGTGGGATGTAATGTTGTCCCACGACTGTATAAATATGCTTTATAAAAGAGGCCTTAATAATTTGTTGAGACAATCCAATACTAATCTGTTAACACAACCAAAACTGACTTGGCCCCAAAACTATTACAAACTGGCTTGGATCTAAGCTTTAGTTTAGAGCCAAAGGACAGACAGATGACCCTTTAAATAAAATACTTCTTCTGCTGATCTGAAATTGGTGCTACTATTCCAGCAAACTCTGAAGTCACATGGCCCTGCAGTCTTCCACTAAACCATGTTAGAAGGAGCTAAACATTTTTAAAAGATTAGTCTGACATGTAAACAAAGGTTGTAGTTGTCTGCCAGACATTGCGTTGTTGCCTTTGCCAGACTTAAGCCTTGCATGATATTATATGGGAGAGGCCCAATCCTTATGAAACAAGCTTTCAATTGATATACTGTTCATATTTTGGTTGGAAAAGATGGAAAGGTCCGAATTTAGAGTTTCTGCTATAATCCATAACTCCAGATAGTCAGAGACAGCTAAGCATTGTACTTGAGGTATATCCCATAGTTTGTAACAGTCTAATATTCCTGAATATATGAAACATAAAATAAGCATTTCTCATAAATACCCAGCTGGGAGAAACATGATTTTGTCTGCTTCATGAAAAAGAGATTGACCTTTTGTGAGGAATCAGTAATCGCATTTTGCAGGGTGGATGAAAATGTATTATAGAGAATAACACAAAAGAAAAGCCCTTGAAGGAACATAGGGTTATTATTATAGAACAATGGCATAAATTTGACTAAAACAAGTGATGCCAAGCTGAGCCAAATCTCCAGTTCAGAGCTGGCAAGTAATTTAATGGATATTTCCCAAGCAGTGGGAAAGAAACTATAGGTCTAAAAATGGTTATAGCATAATCTAGTCTGCCCTTGACCAAACATGGAAGACTTCTGGGCGAAAAATAATTATTATAAAATCTAAAGATGATGCATACTTGTAGCCCTCTACTACAAACAGTTTCATATTTTAACATAATATTGCAACAACTGTCAAATCATCCTTTAAACAAGCAAACAAAAATACTCAGAACCTGATTTGATCCAAACAACAGATTAACTAATGACTGAGAGATAGGAAAGAAGGCAGCAGTGGTCCAATGTTAATTAGAGATAGCAAGCAACGTTTCTGGTTACAGGTTTCCAGTTAGATGACCTAATTCTGAGCTCTCCTGCTGCCTTACAACTACAGCCTGAAAGCAGAATGCAACATCTCAGCACCTGGTGAGATGGACAGAGCTCAGCCTTAGCAACAAAGAAGGCACTTCTGTACCAAAAGCAGAAGCCAGGATTGACAGGCAGGATATCCAGGACTGTATTTCTATTTGTTGAAGTTTGGATTAAAACCTGGAGCAGATTCTCCACCTCACTGACATCAGAGCCATCAGCTTCCATCACAAGACCCCCATAAAATGTGCTAGGCTGGGAGACAATAACTAGCCCAAAATCATCCAACAAGAATGCAAGAGTTATGGTGGATCAGATGATAATCCAGCATTTTGTTTGCAAACTAGATACCTTTAGAAAAACCACAAGCAGATCATGAATGCAGAAGCTAATGAATAATTTGAATTCTACAAATCTCCCACTTTACCACATTGATTATTTGATAATGAAGCTAAGCAGCAATTTTTATGGCACAAAATTGCTTTTTAAGATGCTGTTCCTTGAGATACTTTCATACAGACACAATATGGCAGCTTGACATAAAATGAGCTGGAGTGCATCCCAAGTAAGGGAGATCAGTCATAAAAGTTCAGACAGCTGTTTCTAGTAAAAGAACTTGATTAACAACTTCTGCTGTGTCTAATAAAGACAACATCTGAGGTCAGTCCTCCCTACACCTGACAAAAATGGCCCAAGATTCCAAGGAGAAAATATATAAAATAATAAATAATGTAGGTTGTAATTTTATAAACCATTGCATAGAATGAAGCCCATTCAACTGAATGAGGATCACTTTGAGCAGAACCGCATGGGTTTGGACTGTTAAAAGAAGAGAGGTCTAAGAAAAAGCCAGTGAGGACCCAGGGTATGATTCAAATCCCCACCTGATTTTTTGTGCCCTGTATTAATGGCATGTCTATAAATACAACAAAATAAGCAACGTTTTTTGTAATGTATTGTTTGTTTGGTTTTAGACTGTATTATGTTTTAATCTCTTAAAGTTTAATCTTGTTTTAGGGGGTGGGAGGGGGGTTATGGGGATAAGGCTTGTTTTAACTTTGTATGTTTTAAAATGTTGTAACCCGCCCCGACTGCAGAGCAGAGGGGCGGGCTAGAAATAAAATTATTATTATTATTATTATTATTATTATTATTATTATTATTATTATTATTAGTTGTTAGAGCATTTTATTCAAATGACAGGTCATGTTTTTAAAATATCCAACTGTACTACAAGGTTTTTTTTTTTAAAACAAAAACAAAAACAAAACTACAACAACAGACATAACAAATCATGGAGAGATTTTAAATTTAGCTTGCTCCATGCTGTACAAGTGATGTTTTTGTGAGGAACTTTTACCACAAAGGAGTATATTATCCCTCATTGTTTGGGGTTTTTTGTTGTTGTTTTTAGGTATGTGTCTTCAAGTCATTTCTGACTTATGACGAACCTAAGGCAAACCTATTGTAGGGTTTTCTTGGCCAGATTTGTTTAAGGGAGGTTTGCCACTGCCTTCTCCTAAGCCTGAGAGTATGTGACTTGCCCAAGGTCAGCCAGTAGGTCTCATGGCCGAGCTGGGAATCAAACCCTGGTTTCCAGAGTCATAGTCCAACACTCAAACCACTGGGCCATGCTGGCTCTCGATATATCCCTCACTGGCAGTCAAAAGTGGCACACTCTACTTCATCACAATAAGAGAATGTCATTCTGAAGCATTTGTAGACTGGGTCAGTGGTTCTCTGGATTTTTGGACCACATTCCAAATATATGTTTCTCTGGATTTTTGGACCACATTCCAAAATTCCTGACCATTTGCCTGGCCTTCTGAGAGATTAAGTTCAAAACATCTGTAGGATCAGCTGTTGAGAAAAACTGAACCCAGACACTTTTGGGATGTCCTAAAAGCCTCTTCAATGCACACCCCAACCAGTTCCAATGGCATTTTCCTTCCGGGTGAATTAAACTCCCAGGCTCTCTGTTGTATTCTAATGTTATAGAACTCTGTGATCCCCTATATATACACACACCCAAAGGTTAGCTTTATTTCTGATATTATCTAAACATCAGCCTGAGAAGAATGGAGATACTGACTTTTATTTACTTGATATTTATTTCTTGCTCAATATCTTAACAGAATCTTTGGGAATCCTACACAGTTATACCACTATGGTTCCACTTTAACTGACATAGTGCCATCTAATGGCATCCTAAATGTTACACTTCGGGGAGGAGTATTTAGAATTCTTAGCCAGAGAGCTCACTAAACTACAAATCCCAGAATTCCCATGGTGGAATGTATGCATTTATCAGTGCAAATAACAAGGATGATAATAAAAAGTGTCAGCCTTGGTGTGTGGGTGACTTCAAGTCATCTATCAACCTATGGCAATCCCATTAATTTCACAGGGTTTTCTTAGGAAAGGAAATATTGCCTAAAACACTTGGTCAGTCTCCCAGCCAAGTAATAACCAGAGCTGACCCTTTATAAGTTTCCAAGATCAGAGGGGTTCTGGTGCCTTTAGGGCAGGGGTAGGCAACCTGTCCCCTTTAAGGGCCGAGGGACTTCAGCTCCCAGAATCCCAGGAGCTATTGGCCAACATGGGACTATTGGCCAACATGGCTGAGGCTTCTGGGAACTGAAGTCCCTCGGCCCTTAAAGGGGAAAGGTTGCCTACCCCTGCTTTAGGGTATTTAAGCATATTAGCATGGTACAGTAAGAAAAAACATCTGTATGGAGAGAACATATTTTGGCTTTAGAACAAATTTTAACCATGAGCAACATGAGCTAAATAGTCTGATTATGTTATAGTTGGTGAATATTTGGGACATCTGCAAAGGATTTGCAAAGCAATTCCTAGTAGAACAAATTCAGTTTAAATTTTCAAGGGCTAAACTATTACCAAACACAAGGGCTTTATGTGCTGTCACTGGATATTTCAGTAACTGCTGGGTTCTAGGGAAAAAAAGATTTTCTTTGGCTGAGGAGATTTTCTTCCCTGGCTATTATATAAAATTCTAAGCACTGACAGAACTCTATGATCAGCATGCATCAGACTAGTTGTTTTTTTAAGCAAAAATGCAAACCTCTTAAAATGATTGACTTGACCCAGTAACAGTCTAAATTAAGTTGCTCTGCATCAAACATTTTTATTGACCAGGATTATGGAACAATAAGCATATAAAACATTTTGTATGTTATATTTTGTCTTGAAATAATCCATGAACTACTGCTATGAAACTGGGAGCTGTTTGAACACTGGCTTGTATAGATTACTTCCTCAGGCAAATAAATCTTCCGCTTGAAAAACTTTCTTAAAAAGAACAGATTTATTCTATAATGGTAGGCCCTCGATGCAACAGAAAGAGAGAAGATGTGCTTTGCTTTTGAGAACCTACAGAGCAATTATAGCTCACAAACAAAGATTATGGTAATTGTTAAAGAGACAAGAAAGTGAAGTAGTAAGGATTTAATAGGGATGTGTGCTTTGGGCTGTCTTCATCCAGAATCATAGAATCATAAAGTTGGAAGAGACTACAAGGGTCATCCAGTCCAACCCCCTGCCATGCAAAAACTCAAAATCAAACCATCCCTGACAGATGGCCATCCAGCCTCTGTTTAAAGACCTCCTAAGAAGGAGATCTTTAAACAGAGGCTGGATGGCCATCTTTCAGGGATGGCTTGATTTTGAGTTCCTGCATCTTGTGATTAGATATGTTATGTGCATTACTCTTGTTCTTCAGATAATTTTTACTTGAGAAATACTGCTGGTATAAATTAAACAGGTTTGTAGGCACGTAGAAAGGTGCTTTGTACTGGGTCTATTTGTTTTCCTAGCCCAGCTCTGTTTGTTCTCGCTGACTGTAGCTTTTCAGTGGCGTCAGAAAGAGATTTTCCTCATTACTTGCTACCTGATTCCTTTAACTAGGTAACTCAAGGACTGAACCTGGAATCCCGGCACTGAAAGCATGGCTTGTGTGTGTGCACGCACATACACCTTTAAGTTATGTCAACTTATGGTGAGCCCATGGATTTCAGAGGGTTTTCTTAGGCTGATGCCTGACTGCAAAATTAATACAATTTGACACTCCTTTAACTGCCAATGGTTCCACCCTGGAATTTGTAGTTTGTTGTGACACCAGAACTCTCTGACAGAGAAGGAATATGCAGTTCAAACACTCCTGAAAGATGCCCATCCAGCCTCTATTTAAAGACTTCCAAAGATGAAGGCTGCACCCGCACTGCTGAAATAACACAGTTTGACACCATGCTCCATCCTATGGAATCCTGGGGTATATAGTTTGTCAAGGCACCAGAGCTCTCTGACAGACATGACTAAATACTTCACAAAAGTACAAATTCCAGAATTCCATAGTGATGAGCCATGGCAGTTAAAACAGTGTAAAAGTGCATTAATTCTGCAGAGTAGATACAGCCCTAGACAAGGAATATTTAGGGTTATTTTTCCATTGTCTTCTTTTGAAATTTAGCCTACAGCACCTGGTATTCCTTGGCAGTCTCCTGCCCAAGTACTGACCAGGGTTGACCCTGTTTAGCTTCCATGATCAGGGGGGATCTGGTGCCTTTAAGGTATTTGAGCCTGATATTCTAGCACTGAGTTATTTAGTCCCCCCCCCCCACACTGCACTTGCCATATGCTGAAGAAATATATCTAGAGTATCTGTCTGCAGATGAAATTCTTGTTATTTTCTCTATGCACTTTAAATGACTGTGCACTGAAAGCCATTGCTTTTTTCAAACTACAGCTCATCTTTTAAATCACTATGGCTTGTCTTTTTAACAGCTGTCTAATCTTTATATCATTTGTGGACAGTTTGCTGATGCAGGAAATTCAAGCTTCCAATTTTGTACTTTAACTGTAATATATTAAGTTAGTGGGAATATTCTAAATTTAGAACACAGTTTGCCAGAGGAGAGGGGTAAGAATTTGTTTTGCAGTTCTTTGGGGTGTGCTCTGGCTATTTTATAATCCTCCAAATGTATATGTTTCCCATTGAACATGCACCTTTGTTTATTGGACAGGAAACTATTCAGATATAAACTTTTTATATTCCTGCCATCATACGGATGTTTATGAACTTGTGAGCATTTTGCTCTGGACAAGCAGTTAGGGAAAAGGACCCACAAATATTAGGAGTTCACCAAGGGAAATACAAGGTTCTCTGGGCTGTGTTTGAAGCACTAATCCAGTGTTAAGAATCTAGAATAGTGCCAAAATGATCTGTAAGCCTAGAGCCTTTTTTGAATCAGATTTGGTTTCAACAAATACTGTAAGTCATGACAACTGCCCCAACCCATGGGTGATATAATTAGAATGGTTTCTTTTTGGGACTGTAACTTATAGAATCCATTTGGCAGATTCTGAGAGTTAAAGTTCAAGGCTATAGCTATACTTTTGATACCAGTTTAACTGCCATGGCTCAGTGCTATGGAATTCTGGGATTTGTAGTTTTGTGAGACATATAGCCCTCTCTGTCAGAGAGCTTTGGTATAACAACAACAACAACAACAACAACAACAACAACAACAATAATAATAATGTATTTATATCCCGCTTAATGAAAATCAGTCCAAGCGGCTTACAGTAAAAGAAGATACATACATCAAAATTTCAAAACATCCCACCTCCCAACAACAAACTACAAGTCCCAGGATTCTGTAGGATGGAGCCATGAAAGTTAAACTAGTATCAAATTGCATTAATTCTGCAGTGTGGCAGCAGCCAGAAACAATAACACAGTTGCTGAGAAGATAGGAAGCACTCAGTGCACTGCTATGATGTAATTTCTTTCTGTTCTAATAATTTGGAAAATAAAAGCTATACATTATAGAAGAAGACACTCAAAAATAGTAATAAGGTAGTTTGAACTGCCAGATCAAATGAGTAAGTAATTGCCCCTAGGATTTTCAACACAAGTACCAACTTTACAGTCTGTGTTGTACAGAAAGACAACCAGATACTCATTGGCTTAAAGATGCTTTGGAGAGAACATGTTCTGTAATGCCAGGTAAGCAAAGACATTTGGTTACAGAGATGGGGTGCAGTGCCACAGATGACAACTCCTGTCCCTGCTTACTCTGTGTGTGTGAGATCCTTCCTGGCCTTCAACAACTAAATTTAATGGTAATTTTGCATTTAGGTGATTAGAATATAACAGATCACAAAACACAAATACTATAGCTTGGAGTCATTGAGGACTGCAGCTAGAATGCTACCTAGGAACCATGGGACCTTTGAGTAAAAAAAGTAATTTTTCAAAGTGTACACTTACTCTCTCTCACACAAATAAGCAATGTATTTGCTTGATACGTAGGACAGACACTATCTGCTGTGTAATTACAGGCAAATTAACACTGTGATAGGAGATACACCCTAAAGTAAGAATTGCCTGTAGTACTAAAAGCATTTCAAAGTATTTCAGTTATCTTCTGTGCTTCATCCAATAGCCTAAACTGCAGTTATGTGAACTTGCCAATTAATGCATTATCTAAATGAGATGAAATCTGACTAAATATTTTAAGTAATCATTTAACATTGTCATATGCATGGATTTCAGTCATGGGTTATTTGGGTAAATGAAGTGCTTTTAACTGTCTTTGAAAAGAAAATCTGAGCTCC